TCTGTCCTGTTCGTACAGATAATTTTTGAAAAAATAAACAAATATTTATATGATAAAAATAGAAAGAAAATTGTAGAAGGCTAACAACAACATCTGCACCAAAAGAATCAAAAATTTGAAGATCACATGGATTCAACGACGACAACGGCAACGTTGACGATGACAGTGACAGCTATAGCATCACTGACCAAGCATTTTTAAATTAGTTCGATTATTTGCTTGCTAGGCTTAGTGGAATAACTTAAGTTTAATTCGATTGTTCAATTCCGATGGCCGTCTTCTTCACATCGTTTTAATCAGCCACATGAATTAGTGATTGAAAAAAGAACAGAAAAGAAACAGAACAGAACTTCCAAATAAGCAACATAAAGTTTTTAAAAACTGAAAAAAAAAATCGTTTTTTTTTTTTCCTTCCAACTTTTTGCTTTTCGCTTTTTTTGCTAAAATTACTGCTGCTCGAATGCTGTTGTCATCATCTTTGTCGTCGTCGTCATCGTCGCCATCAACAGCATTATCGTAATTGGCGTCATCGTCATTGGTGTTGCTATTATTACTAAGCGGCTACAGCAAACGCTTCAAAACGTGTCTTCTCACTTTTCTTTCTTTTTTTTGGCTTATAAAGGAAATATATTTACCAAAAAATACAGAGGAGAAAATGCGGAGGATTTGCAGCAGAGAAATGAAACTTATTTCTTCAGTCAAACATTGTTGGTCTCTCTTTGAATTCATAAAAATTTTATCATTTTTATATTCCTTTAGTTCCTTCTTCCTCTCTTTTTTTCTTCGTTGACTCCGTCTAAAAAAGAAGACGACAACAAGTATACTTTAAACAGTCTTAAATAAGAACAAAAAATATGTCATTCATTTTTTCATTTATGGTAAGACAAAAAAAAAAAAGTGTTAGGAAAGTTGTTTTTAGACTTTATTCTCATCAATGATTCATCTTATTTTCACCTCTTAAATTTTTCCCATTATTTTAGGATGCTATCGTTATGAGATATTGTCGACATACATTGGTCACTTGAATGTTTCCAAACTGAACAATTTAATTCAAATTTTTTGGCAAAAAACTTTACTGGAAATCTGTGGAAGGTAATCAGCAGCGTAAAATGTCAATAATCCATAAAGATAATTTTTTGAAGTCAGAAAAGAAAAAAATTTGTCTATATTTGCATTCGGATTGCTATAAAGTGAAAATTTACTCTATTTTTCTAGCAGCGTTTCAGCAAACTTCAAATCTGATGTACAGAAAAATCAGATTTGCCCGACTTTTTGCAAACCCATCTGTTTGCTACAATAAATAAGTTTTTTTCTATAAACAAAAAAAGCCATCATCTTCGAACATTAACAGTCACTTAACCCCTAATAAATACGTCATTACAATTCCCATTTTTTTTTCAAATTGAAAAAAAAA